GGGGCGGAGACAGAAGTCAAGAAATCCAAAGCACCTGACCCAGCAGTTAGAGGTGGGAGTGGAGTAGGAAGGGCCAACGTAGGGGTGGAAGGCGTGGGTACTCAAGCAGTCCCAGGGAAGTCGCCCCAGAAACAGCCCCAGCTCCAGCCCTAGGTTAGGTCTACAGTGCACAAGAAGCACCATGGTCTGCTTTAGCTTCTGAAACCCAGTCCTTGGCTGATAGTCTCTCCGGGACAAGGCAGACTCCCCAACACTCATCCCAAAGATGGGACCTCTGCCTTCTTGTTGCCTAAGGTTTACAGCCGCCTCGCATGCAGCACACAGCCCTTTTCTTTCCTGAGAATTCCCAAAATTGGAACAGAGGAGGTCTGGAGAGGTAAGCTGGAGAAGGTGGTCCTGGGATGCCACGGCAGCTCTCCTGACCCACGACGCTTATAGTAATGGAGCTTCAACACCAACTCCTAGCGACGCCCAGGCTCGGCACTCAGACCTAAGTCTGACTTCCCTCTGAGCCGTGGCTTCCTCTTCTGCCCAGCCAGACAGGGTGGAGGATCCAAACGGGGCTTGCCGTCAGGTTTAGAAATCAGCCCTACCTGGGCCCCAAGCGCCCCGGGCACGCAGTAGGCTCACAGCCCGCACGCTCAGTGCAGTACCAGCACGCTCAGTACCAGCTAGAGTTATAATTAGTAAGTCTCTTCTTTGTAGCTCAACAGGGTGCGACGTCCTCTCGTGCCGCTGGCGCCGCGGGTCCGTGGCATCCGCGGGGACCCCGCCCCCGCCCCCCGCGCGCGCGGCCCGAGCCACCCGGTGGGGTTTCTGCGCGCTGACGTGGGCGGATCAAAGCAGCTGCCGGCTCCTTATAAAGCAGTTCGGGCTGCCAGCGCCGGGAGACCGTGCCGGGTGAGGAGCGGAGCTCGGGCGAGTGAGCGAGCGCAGGCCCCGGGAGCCGAGCGCCCTCCAGTCCCCACGGGACCCCAGACGGCCGCGGCTCGCCAGGATCACGGGTGTCCTTTCCAGGCAGCTCGCGAAGAGGACGGCCTCGCCGCCTGCCCAGCCCGGAGAGCGCTTGGGTCCTCCAGGGTCCGCGCTCGCAGCTCCCCGGCCCGCCCGGCCAGGCGAGCGCCCCAGGAGGTGAGCTGTGGCCGCGGGCAGAGGGCGGGCTCTCAACCCGGACCTGCCAGAGTTGGGGGCGGGGGTGGGGGACCCCGTTGGGCACCAGCTCCCGGGCAAGCAAAGCCAGTTCTCGGAAACTCTGTTCCACGGCTCTCCCAGGCAGTCCCTTCGCTGAGAGCAACCGCTGGGGCCTGGGGGTGCGGGCTCTACGCGGATGAGAGGCAGAGGTAGGCTGTACAGACCCCGCGGCCCGCCTCGAGCCTTCCAGTCCCGGTTCCCCCCCATTCGACCCTCTCCCTCCGAGTCAGCCCACGGATGAGGTCATGCCCGAGCCATCCCGGGGGTGGGGGACTTGGATCCAGCTGCAGAGGGTGTGTGTGGTGGGGCGGGAGAGGGTGGCAAAAGGCAGAGAACGACTGCAGCTCCTACTAAATTGGGGGGCGGGGGCGGACGCCTTGCTTTGAGACCTGCTTCCAGAAGCGGCAGGGTGGGGGTGGGGGTGGGGGGAAGGGGGAGAATCGAGAGTTTGTTTACAGACCTGAGCTCCAGGCTGGGGGAGGTAGGGAGGAAGAAAGTCCAGTCCCGGCCCCGAGGCACCTCTGGAGCAGCCGCGAACATCTGGCTGAGCTCGCACGGGCCCCACACCTCCCACCTCCCCGAGCTTAGGTACCTCCAAGACCCCCACGGTCCTTAGGCGCTCGAGGTCTGGCTTGGGGGGCGGGTAGTGGGAGGAACCCCGAGTTCCTCCACCCCACCCTTCCCAATTCCAAACTAACCCGTTTCGCGGGTCACCTGGCGCGTCGTCCACAGCCCAGCAGACACATCTAGGAAGACTCGCGGCCAGAGTCAAAGCCGTGTTGAGGGCCTCGCCTCGCTCGGCGTCGCAGGTAACCCTGAAGCAGTCGCTCGGCGTCACCGGTTCTCTGGGTCGGCTCTGTGAGCAGCGCACCCCCGGGCTTCGGGCCGGGCCGGAGGCGACCTTCCGCGCGGCGTGGACACTCAGCACGAGCGCCGGTGCGGGTTCCCGGCCCGGCGCGGGCTCACGCGGGAAGGGAGTGTTTGGTGGGCGCCCGTCGACTCTGGCTCAGAGGGGCAACCTCGCAGGCAGCGGGGTTTTCAGGGCCTTCCAGAGCCCAAGCCTTATAACCACCTGTTGGAGCGGGCCTGCGGCTACTACGCTTGCGGTGTCCACGGTGTGCACAGCCCGGGAGGTTTCGGCTGTCGCCCGCTGCAAGCCGGGAAGCTTGAGCCTTCTCCACAGCGGGAGGAGGAAGGGACCGCTTATCTCTCCAGGGACACTGTGCTTTGATGCGGGTCCACTACACGCCTGACCCCAAGGGAGGTTCCGAGCCCGGCCTAAAGCAAGAGGTCGGGCAGTCCGGGGCGGACCGCGGCAAGTGGAGGGTCTTATAGAACGACCAGATCTGAGAGGTCACTTAGCTTACTCTTCATCCCATCCCCGGAGCGGGATACTGGGGCCCAGGAAGAGAAGGGGACTTGCCCAAGGTCCCAGGGCACGGGAGGCTGCTGCCTAGCCCACCTCGAACCCCGGTTTAGCGCCCCCTGGCGGGCCGGGGCCTCCGGGAGGAGCGTGCTCCCTGACCCTCCAGGCGCAGGCTGAGGGTGACCCAGCGGCCCTCGCGGCTGTCCTAGACACTCTGACAGTGGACAGGAATAATCTGCCAAGACCCAGAGGCCCAGACCGGGAGCCGCCTCCCCCAGCGACGTGCCAGGGCAGCGAAGGGAGAAGCCCAGGACCACCGGGGCCGCTCCGAAACAGCCAGGGATAGCTTGGAGGCCTGGGTCCCGGTGCGCACACGCGGGGCCCCCTTCTCTCTCTGCGCGCGTTGGGCTGGACACGGATCCCCTGCGGTGAGTCCGCGCTCTCCTCTCTCCGCGTGCGGCCCTTCCTTTCCCTACCCTGGAATGCTGGGCGCCTTAGGGGGCAGCCCACACTTTGGGAGGGGGTGGGGGCGAGGAGGAACAGTGAGCAGAGTTTTTTTCTCTCCCCCCCCCCACCCCCTCCCGGCATATCCAGCCGATATTTTTCTCGTTCTCAGGAGCGTGTGGGAAGAGGGGGCTCAGTTAGACTTAAGACCCCAGCTGAAGCACCACTCCTGCTTCCCCGCCCCCGGTGCCTTAGAGCGAGCACCACTGGCTTGGGAGAACTCTTTGGAGGAGAAAAAAAAAAATGTAATTCATAAGTTTCTCCCTGCCTTGCCCTGGGTCATGCCGCAAGGTCCCAGAAAACAGTGGGATTTAAAATGTGTGTCTGTGCGTGTGTGTGCTCTTAAGGCGCACACGTACATGCACATACTACACAGGTAGATGTAATACTGGGAACTTAGGGAGAGGGGGCTCAAAGTACCTGCAGACTACCGGAGACTGGAAAGACCTCAGGAGATGCGTGAAGTCCAGGCCCTTGTTTTTATAGACTGGGAAGCTGAGGCTGGGCTGGTGGAAGGTCCAAGGTCAGATAGTCAGATGAGAATACCTCCTTTTGGGTCAAGCGCCCCCCACTAAGGCGCCTTCTTTTTCCAACTCCCCAAACGTTTTAGGAAGAAATCCCTTTGTTTGGTCCTCCCCAGGGAGGAGGGGCTGGGACTGTGTTTGTCTCCGGACTAACGCCAGGTGTTGGTAAATTTGGGAGAAGCTAGGAAGGGAGTTAATGAGGTGAGAATGAAGAAGGAGGGGGGAAGAAGAAATAGAGAAAAGGCGGAGAAAGCGACTCTGCGGCCTGCGGGAAGGGTATGGGTACTCCGCGGCCCCAGGACGCCGCCTGGCGGCCAGAGGCGGCATCTTGCCGGCCCCGTGCGCTTCCTGGCTCAGCCAAGGCCAGGCCGCCCCGCCTCGGATCCGGCCTGGGCACCATCGGACCCTCCAAGAGGTCACCGCTAGAGGAACTAGGAAACTCAGGACCCCGAGTAGCCCTTACTGCACAAAGACATTTGCCATCCCCTTTCTCATCCTACCCGTCGCAGCCTGAGAAACTGATGCCCCAGAGCAAGCCCCCATTTCCTTGTCTTCTCACGGTCCATGATCTCACCCGACACTGGGTAGACGTGAGAGTAGACTGCCGCTTGTTGGCTGAACAATCCCATTTCACATCTCCAGGCCTCAGTTTTCTCATCTGTGAGATGGGGGCAGTGATAGTACCATCTCCCAGGGTTGCTGGGAGGAAACAAAAATCGATCGCGTTAGGTTGATGTTCTTTTTAAAAGGTGAATTGTGTCATAATCACAGTTTGAATAACAACTGTGGTCCCAGGTTACAGAGCGGGTAAACCGAGCCCCGGCGGGGAAGGAGAATGCCCAAGCCGGCAATAACTAATACTGCGGCGATGAGAAACCAGATCCTGGGCGCGGTGTCTGCTCTTCCCATTGCCCGCCTGCAGCCTCTGCCCTCGACACCTTCCATCGCTCTCTAGGGCTGTGTGCCTGTCCTGCTCAGTTTCTCTCAGCCTCGTTCTCTGAGGTTCTCTCTCCCTCTCGCTGTCTCTCCGCCTGGGCTCTCCTGAGTCTTTGATCCTCTCGCCCCTTTCTCTTCTCGCCGCGGGCGGCTCTAGGTGGACACGCCCTCGGCCGCGCTCCCGCGGCACCTAATTTGAGCCAGACGCCGGCAGCGTCCGGGACTATGTTGGGCTGGAGGCGACGCCCGCCGCGCGCCGGGCCTCCCCGGGCCCCAACCCCTCCTTTGTAATTTGAATAAAACGCCCCCACCCCCCACGCCCGTGGCCCCCGCCCCACGCGCCGCCTTAACCCGCAGCCTCCGCTCTCCCCGACTGCAGGCGGCCTGCGCGCAGGACGAGCGACGGCGGCCGGGAGCGCGGCCGGACTTCGGCGCGGCTTCCCCAGGGTGAGACCCTCCTGCGTGCCCGCCGCGCGAGGATGAAGGCGCGGCCGCAGGTCTGCCAGGCGCTGCTCTTCGCCCTGGCGCTCCAGACCGGCGTGTGCTATGGCATCAAGTGGCTGTAAGTGAGGGATCCGCGTCTACGCAGATGGGCCCCCGAGGGCGGGGGAGGCGGAGAGCGTTAAGGGGTCCCCTGGGTCGGGCCAGCTTACTCAAGACTGGGGAACAGAAGTAGCCTGGGGGCTGTGGGCGAGTCACCCTTCTTAAGCCTCCTTTTCCTCCTCTGTAAAATATTGTCCTTACCTGCGGGAGGAGCGAGACAGGGCGTGGAAGGCGACAGAATTGCTCTGTCCTGTGGCGCTGAGAGTTACGCAAGACCTCCACCAGGACAGATGGAAAGAGCGTGGTCGAGGGGCTCAGTCTTAAGGGTCTGTGCCCTGCACACAGGGCCTGCTGGGTATTACGTTTCTTGTCAGTCTCCTGACCGGAGCTGGAGGTCCTGAAACAGCCCAGACTGCCCCACCTGCGTGACCTTGGGGAAGTCTCTCTCAGCTTCTGGGAGCCTCGGCGTTCTCTGTCAAAGGAGGGGAAGAGCCTCTGTCTCACTCAGGTCAGATGAGAAGGGGCTCATGAAAGAACCTCCTTAACTGTCAGATGCTCTGCACATGTGAGAAGACAGTCCTTTAGATAGAAATTATTAATGGAAGGGTAGGTGGGAGAGAGACTCCCTTCTATCCAGCAGCAGGGAGTGCCTGCTCGGTGCAGGACTGTGAGCAGTGAGGGCAGGCAGAGAGGAGTAAAACCCAGCCGCTTCCTGGAGAAGCTGCCCTCTGGTCTGGAAGAGATAAGCCCAGGCTGTAAATAACTCCCAAGTGCTCCAGGAGAGACCAGTGCAGTGTTGTGGGACTCAGACGAGAGGAGAGCACCCGGTGGGGGGCATGTATTGGGACCCTAGGTAGACTTTTCCAGGGTGGTGCTCCTAGGAGGGACCTGAGGAATCTCTGGAAGTATGGCGGGTCGGGGCAGTGAGAGAAGGGCCCTTTGGGTGGAGGAACTCCCTGCGTGGTTGAGTTCCAGGTCGGGGGTGGGGAGCCATGCAGATAAGACAGACAGGGGACAGATTATGGAGGTTGGGGAGGGACTGTGAGGAAGGTTCGTGGATTAGCTGGAAGACAGGGCGATAGTGGCTGGGCCACCAGCAAACAGTCTTGAGGTCACCGGCCCTGCTTCATCTGGGGCTGAGTTATTGATTAATTTTCCTCTGGAGAGGGGAACCCCATCTTTTTGCATTTCTTGTCTGCAAGGAGAAGCCTGGGCTCAGCGGCTTCCCGGCCTAGGGTTGGGGGTGTGTGTTGGGGGGGGGGGCAGGTGGGAAACACCAGTTTTTCTCAGCTGTTCCTGATTAGTTTTATGAGAAATCAGACACTTTCCTCCTTCTGCTTGTACCTGGCACTGTCCCAGTTGGTGAGAACCTCTGATCAGGGAGCCCAAGCCCTTCTCGCCCACCACTAACATTGTATAGATAAGGAAACTGAGGTCCAGAGAAGGAAAGGCGTTGTTAAAGAGCACAAGGAGCATCAGAGGCCAAGAACTGGGCTTGCCACTAGCATGTTGTGGGGGACATTGCTGTCATTCCCTCCGAGAAATGTGTGACTTGTGCGGGCCCCCAAGCTGGCATATGGCTTGGTAGGGTCTGCAGTAGATGGCTAGTTAAGCCCAACATCCATGGTATCCCCACTGCATAGACTAGGCTGCAACAAAAAAATGAGCATACCTCAGTGTCTGCCTTAAAAGCACTTCCAGCCTCTTGAGGGAAATAGACATATAATGATACAAAGTAGACTTTGGGCTGTGTCCTAGGAGAGGGGGCATGGGAGCCCAGAGGAGGAGTGGTTAGTCCCACGTAAGGGAGGTGACTTTGAGCCAGGCTTCAAAGGATAGATAGGATTTCAATGGCCATGGATGGAATGCAAAACAGGCATCCTAGGCAGAAGGAACCACAGGGACAGGACTGTGTGTGGGGAGGAAACAGAGAAACCAGAAATTACAGGAGCTTACTAGTAAATCCCCAGAGCTTTAGACATTTAACTTTGATAATACTCTTGTGAAGTAGGTGACATTCTTATCGCTACCATTTTACAAATGAGGAAACTAAGGTACAGAGAGGTTAAGTAACTGGTCTAAGGTCACACAGCTAGTTAATTAATGGTGGATGTGGGATCAGAAGCCAGGCAGACAGGCTCCATGAAACCAAACCTCTTTGATAGTGGTTAAATTGCTGGAGCTGAAGATACTGGAGGAAGCAGGAGAAAGAGTGGAGTTTAAGAATAACAGTGTGTGTGTGTGTGTGTGTGTGTGTGGCCTTGCAGACCATATAGCAAGGTCATATATATATATATATATATGGCCTTGGAATATGCCAGGCACTATTCTAAGTTCTTGATGTGCGTTGTTTCATCTGTCTCCCAACCACCATGTGAAGTGGGTTCCGCCATCTCCCTCATTAAACAGAAGAGGAAGTAGAGGCTCAGTGGGTCTTTAATGAACAGGGTGTCACAGCTAGTAGGCCGCAGAGGCAGGATTTGGACTTAAGCTGCCTGGCTCTGTTTCCTCTTGGTCTCCGGGAGCCATAGGAAAGTTAGGAATAGAGAAGTGTACAGTCAGGATGAAAAGCTGGGGTTCCTGAGGCTGTGCCAGGGGACCCTGCTGCCTTGGGCTTTGGAAAGTAAGCTGAAGAGGAGAGGGGAATTTGACATGGGAACTGAAGGTAGACGTGGCTGAATGACCCAGAATGCCCACCTATGGGGACCTGGGACTCAGCCTGAACTTCCTGCGGAGTGGGGGTAAGGAAGAGGGGGTAGAAACACCTGGGGAAATCCCTCCCCTACCTCACCTCCCACCCAAGCCAAATGGTGGGAGACTCAGACCAGAGGGTGTGGGGAGAACCTTCTCTGGCTGTCTCGGGGCTAGAGAGGATGGTTCCAGCCTTCTCGGAGCCTCTGGAGGCAGCCCCAGGGTGGGTGGAGTGGCCCCAGTGAGCCTGCTGCTCACTCTGGATCAGGCCTCTCGAGGAAGAGTCCGAAGAGACTCGGAGGGACACAGCTGCCACAGAGAGGCTTGGAGAAGCACCAGACCTGAGTCAGGAGACCCGAGTCCCAGCCTGAGCTCTGACAGTTCACTATCTGTGAGCTGGACCTCAGGCAAATCAATCACTTGAGCCTTTCTGAGCCTCAGTTTCCTCATCTGTACAATGGGGTGAAAGAGCCCTAGCCTGTGATCTAGGAGTTCTAGCCTGGCTCTGCTTCTGATTCTCTGATTGGTTGCTTGTGTACAGGTCTGGGCAAGCCCTCCCCTTCTCTGGGCCTCAGTGTCCCCACTTGCACAATGGAGGGGGGGACACTGAGGCTCGAAGAGGGTTGGTGACTTGTCCAAAGTTGAACGTTAGATGAGCAACTGAGCTGGAGCTGAAACCCAGGTCTCTGTGCCCCTCACCACCACCCCACCATTCCCAGGAGAGCCCCAACTCCTGAATGAGAGAGACCTCATCCCCATGGCCCCCTTGGCATAGGCCTCGCCTGTGAACTCTCTGTTCCCTCCTGTCCTCTCTTCCACCTTCTCCCCCATGCACCCGCCCCCAGATAAACCAAAATGTTTTCAATTAGGGGTCTGCTGCAGTGAGGCAAGCCGGACAAGATGTCCAGACGGGTAACTCCCCCGCCTCCTACCCTAATCCTTGATTACCTCCCCAAGGGGGCCTTAGTTAGAAACGGTCATTACCACTAATTACCAGATGACCGCATCGCCCTCCTCTGGAGTGGAATCCGCTGCCTCCCGCCTCCTGATCTCCTGGTCTGCACGCTCCCGTGAGCCAGCCTCTCCCAGCACGCTGCAGCTGGCTGCTCTGACCCGGCTGCGCTCTCCGCAGCCCTGTGCCCACCCAGCACCTCCAGGGTGGTTCCCATTTGTCCTCCACCCTCCTGGGAAGGCTGAGCCTCATTGTCCATGCCGGATTCCCCTCATAAAACCTCTCTCACCACCAGCTGGGAAGGTGGATGCTTGATGACTTCAGAGATGGACAGACTGACCCAGAATGGCTGATCCAGACCCCAGGAGTCCAGAGAACCCCTTCTGGGAGCCGCAGTGCCTGGTACTCAGGAGTTACCTGAACCGAGCTCCCCAGGAAAAGTCTGAGCTTATGTTATCCACTTTCTGAGCAGGAGCCCAGGGAAAAGACCTGGAATACAGCCACCCTGCATGCGTGCCTGCTGTATGCCCAGTACCGTGCTGGGTGTTTTCTCATGTATCTCCTGTAATCGTTCCTGTTGTGAAACAGAAAACTGGCTCAGAGGGGAAGGATGGAAACTGGGCAAGGGTGATGGGCAGGGTGGGCTCAGGGCAGGCTGAGTGTGGACAGACCCCAGCCCAGTAGGAAGGGGACCCAGAAAGGTGGCATCTGGAGGAGGCTGAGCACCCAGGCATTGGACCGTCTCAGTGTCCTCCTCTGTTTAAAGTGGGTAATATTCTCCCAGGCTCCTCCAGACATTGTGAGAATGGGCTGAAATGAGAGGCTCTGTAAACTGGGAACTGCTGTGTCCATCTGGGACAGTGGGTCCATGTGCATGGACAGTGTTTGCTGGGTGGAGGCAGAGAGGTTTTACCAGCCAAGAAACAGGCTGGGGTGGCGGGTTATATCTGCCCCTGTGTGGTCACCCCTCACCCATTACGGGCTGCAGGAATTCAGGCAGCAGGTTCCCTAGGTATCCTGGCATTGGCAGGATCAAGCAATCAGGCCTGAGGTCTGCCCCAGATACACCAGGTTTCTCGGCTCATGCTTTGCAAGGAGGGGGAAGGATGGGCCAGGGATGGCAGTGAGGGAGAAGACCAAGTCACCCACAGTCTCAGACAGGCTGGGTTGTGCCACCCCAGTGTGGCCCCCAGGCCGTGCTCACTTGCCCTGGCTCTGCTTCCCAGGCCTCTGGGAAGATTTCTATATTTTGGAGTTGTAGGAGCATGGCAGAGAGAGGCAGGAGGAAGCCAACTAACCTACTAGTACCTATAAGCACATATCATTTCACTTGGCCCCTGCAAGGCCTCCAGGAATCCCCATTTTGTGGTTGATGCTCAGACAGTGGCAGCAATTTACCCAAGATTGCACAGGACGTAGAGGCCAGAGCTTGAGTCCCAACCCGGGTCTTCTGACTCCCTCTGGTCCAAGATTCAGGTGGCAACAAGTGAGGAATCCCATTTATGAATACTCCAAATGCTTTCCAGCCATTATCACATTTAAATCTTAACCATAATCCTTGGAAGTAGAATTTATCATTTCCTTATAACAGATGAAGACCATGAGGCCCAGAGAGGTTGAGTAACTTACCCAGGTCACACAGCTGTTGCCCAAAGCCTGAGCTCTTCCCTGGGCCAGTCCCTGAGCTGGAACATCTAGGTTGCCTTATAGCTGGTGACAGGTCTGTGCAGCTGCCTGTTGAGGGGCTCCTTGAGGAAAGGATATATATCCTTCACTACCAAAAGAGTCTGGGAAGAGTTGTGCTTAGTAAATATTTCTCCCACAAGCAGATCAAGTTCATTTTTTCATTTAGGCACAGGAACAGGGGAAGGGCATTCCTGGCACCAGGAGAAGTCTGGGCACAGGCGTGGTGTCAGGGTCGTCCCTGTCAGAGAAGCTAGGAGTCTGGTGTGGTGGATATTTCGATATGTGGGGGGAGAAGGACAAGAGGCTGGAGAGCACTGGGGTGGTGGCAGGCTTGCCACCTGAGGGGCCATGAAGTCAGAGGGGAGCCCTTGACCTTGACTAAGTAGGTGCAAGATGCTAAGGTGGGAAGAGGCCACCAATGCAATAATGTAGTAGATTTCATCACAGGGCACTGACCATGGCGTGTCAGCCCTGGACAGAGCATGTGACACGCCAGAGTTAATCCCCCAGACAGTACTGGGAGGGGAGAGGTTACTTGGCTTGCTCAAGGTCATGGGGGAGTGCGGGTGACAGAGGCGGGGGTGACAGGGCCAAGAATCTGCCTAGGCCTGTGCTGTTCTTTGGCACTGGGTTGCCTCCCTTGGGATCTCAGGCCAGGGGCTCAGGAATCCAGGCCTTGCCAGGTCTCAGCCCTGACCCTGGATGAGGTCTGCTATGGTCCCAGCAAGTGAGACACACAGCATGCAGGTCTGAAGGCTGGCCCCTGCTTTCCCCTTGTCCCTCCAAGGTCTCTGCTGGATCTGAGGACCAGCTGGCCCTAGGGTAGGGACCAGGTCTATGTGGAACTCTTTAAGACTGTGGGGTCCCTCTAGCCTCCACTTAGGGGAGGTGCAGCCTGATGCAGTCTGCTCCTGAGAGAAGGCCTGGGAAGAAGGTGAATCCAGGATGGTCCCCTGGTCCTAAAGTCTTAGAATTTCAGTGCCCAGAGCCATGATCTGGGAAGCTCAGAGGTCCTATAGCATCATCAGGGTTCATAGAGAACCGCCTAGATCAGCATTCTCAAAGCATGGATGAGGTTAGGACTCTTCAAATAAAGGGTTTTGTGCTCAGCAGACTTGGAAGTTACAAACCAAGCCTGTTGCTTTGCTGCAGGACTTCTCAGGGCCTTTAAAATGGAAATATGCATTATTATTCTTCAAGAGGGGATATAGTATATCACATCCCCAAAATGTGCTTGACCATGGATCCGCTTTTTCAGAGTGTCTCACTGGAGCCTGCTCTGGGGAATACAGTTTACAGGTACAGACACTGAGACCCAGAGAGGACAGTGATTTATCTAAAGTCACACAACAAGTTAATGGCTGTGTGCTTAGTCACTCAATTGTGTCCAACTCTTTGCAACCCCATGGACTGTAGCCCGCCAGGCTCCTCTGTCCATGGGGATTCTACAGACAAGAATACTGGAGTGGGTTGCCATGCCCTTCTCCAGGGGATCTTCCCAACCCAGGGACTGAACCCAGGTCTCCTGCATTGCAGGTGGATTCTTTACCATCTGAGCCACCAGGGAAGTCCAAGTTAATGGCTAAATCCTATTTATCACAAAATTGAGTGGCTTTAATCTTTTCATAAATCCCTTGCATGTATGTGGGATTTTTACAGCCTAATATATGGATTTAATAATTAATGAAGCCAAATCTAGTAAGTGCTCAATTAATAATGTATATTATGCTGTTGACTATAATCTAGCATCTAGCATAGTGTCTGGCTCAGTATTGAGTGAATGTTGCATAAAAAATAATAATCCACAGCTCTGTGAGGACTAAATAAGCTAATGGATGTGAGTGAGTTGTGAACTAGAAAACTGTTAGTCTAATTATAATAAAGCCTAGGTAGGGTGGGGGGAGGGTCACAATCCTATGTTATGAATGAGCGCCTCAGGCCCAGAAAAGGACAGGGACGTGCCCAAGGTCACACAGGGGCGGGAGGGAGAGCCATTACCCTGCTGGGGACGGCACTGCTTGGCCTCCTGCTTTCCCAGCTCCTTCCAGTAAAGGCCCCAGACCCACGGAGAAGAGGCTGGGGCCATACAGTGGGTGGAGGCAGCAGGGTCCCTCTCGGCCCTGACTTCCTTTTCACTGGTGCTGCTTTCTGGCCGTGTGCAGGGCCCTGTCCAAGACCCCGGCGGCCCTGGCGCTGAACCAGACGCAGCACTGCAAGCAGCTGGAGGGCCTGGTGTCGGCGCAGGTACAGCTGTGCCGCAGCAACCTGGAGCTCATGCACACCATCGTGCACGCTGCCCGCGAAGTCATGAAGGCCTGCCGCCGGGCCTTCGCCGACATGCGCTGGAACTGCTCCTCCATCGAGCTCGCCCCCAACTATCTGCTCGACCTGGAGAGAGGTAGGGGGCTGGCGGGGCCTGCCAGGGCCTGCGGAATGCGTGCGGGTAGAGGTGGATGAATTCAGGCATAAATATATGTGTGTTTAGATAGGTGGCTGTGTTCATGGATGGATGGATGGAAGCCTGATGGGTGGATGAGTGAATAACTGGATGATGGATGGATCCACGGATGGGTGGGTGGATGAATTAATCATGGCCATGGGTGTTTGGGCGTGAATTGATGAATGGATGAACATACAGGGAGTGCGGGGGAGCCTGGATGACAGTACAAATGCATGCATACCCCTCATACCTGGACAAAGGAATGAATGATGCAGGGAGGCCGGTGGGTGGGGTGGGGAGTCTATAACGAGAGTGCGACTGAGCCCACCCTCAGGGCAGACAGGTGTGCCACATGGTAATTCTAGAGCAACCCGGCTCAAAGTGCTGTGAGAGGCCCAGAATGATACAGGGACTAAAGAGCATCTGTGGAGACTTGCTGGAGGAGGGGGCTTCTGGGGTGGGTTGGGGTGGGGCTTCCTGTGTAGCATAAGGAGGCTTTTGGAAGGCAGGGGATCAGTTCTGTCCCCTGCACAGTGACAAGTCATGTGTGTGCAGCACTTTACAAACATAGCCTCCCTTCTTCCTGAATTATCCCAACTCCAGAGAGGCCTGTGAGATAGGTATATCGTTACCACTCTATGGTTAAGGACACCAAGGCTTGAGAAGGGCAGTAACTTGCTTGGACCTGAGGCCAGGACCCCACATCCAAGGCACGTTGGACTCCATCTTAGTTGTTAAGGCTGCTGTAACAAAGCCCCGCGCTCTGCGGGGCTTCCCACAAGGGGAGGCTGGAAGTCGGAAGTCAGAGTCAGGGTGTCTGCAGGGCTTCCTCTGAAGGCACAAGGGGGAAGACTCATCCCTGCCTTGTCTTCACTTCTGGGGACTGCCGCAGTCTGTGTTCCTTGGCTTCTAGCTGCATCTCTTACGTCTCTGTTTCGGTCACATGGCCTCTGCCCTATATGTCTCTGTGTCCAAGATTCCCTCTTCCTCCAAGGACCCCAGTTGTTGTATCCGGGCCCACTCTGATCCGTCTAATGACCTCAGCTCAGTTACACCTGCAAAGACCCCATTTCTAAATAAGGTCATCTTCACAGGTACCAGGGATCAGGACTTGACCATATCTTTTTAGGGGACACCTTTCATCCTGCAGCAGGCTGCTTGCTCACCTGTCTTTGAGGAGCTCAGGGATGGGGCCCTCAGTGCCTGAAAGCAGTCCCTAACACTGGGTGTGGGGCGTGCAGTGTGAAAGTGCAGTGTGCTGAGCGTGTGAGGGTATGCCTGTGGGGTTGCTGGCTTTTTGGGCTTCACGAGTGAGTGTGCCCATCAGCTAGTCCATTTGGGGGAGGATGGGGGCGTGACAGATGAATGGTCCTAGCGCCACCCTCCACCTGCTGCGTCCACTCGCCACCACTGTCCCCATCTGGCCCCAGAGGCAGGTGGGGACTTCAGCCCTGGGCACGGTCCTATGCTTGGGTCGCTCGCCCGGGTTGACCCCGCTCCTCCCCACAGGGACCCGGGAGTCAGCCTTCGTGTATGCGCTGTCGGCGGCCGCCATCAGCCACGCCATCGCCCGGGCCTGCACCTCCGGCGACCTGCCCGGCTGCTCCTGCGGCCCTGTCCCAGGTGAGCCACCCGGGCCCGGGAACCGCTGGGGAGGATGTGCGGACAACCTCAGCTACGGGCTCCTCATGGGGGCCAAGTTTTCCGATGCTCCTATGAAGGTGAAAAAGACAGGATCCCAAGCCAATAAACTGATGCGTCTACACAACAGTGAAGTGGGGAGACAGGTAACCACCCCCCCACCCACCCCCCCCAGATGGTTGTGCTTATGCCAGTTGGCCCGGAGAGGGGCACCCGGTGGGCCCCAGTGGAGGGGGTGGTGGGGGGACGGGCCCTGATGCGCCCACACTGATGTGCTCCTGGCCTCCCCGGACTCTTTCCTCTCCAGTGGCTTGGGGCTTGCCTGGCTTCTTCTCCTCCAGGGGGTCCACTGGGGTTTGGGTTGGAGAACGTTGGTGGAGCAGAAGGCGTGCTAAGCTGGGAGTCAGGAGCTCTAAACTCACTGTGTGACACTGGGCGAGTCACTTCCTCTCTGCCCTCAGTTGTTCCCATCTATAAAATGGGGTGGGTGGTGGAGAAGGAAATGGCAACCCACTCCAGTATTCTTGCCTGGAAAAGTCCATGGACAGAGGAGCCTGACGGGCTGAAGTCCATGGGATTACATGACTGAGCATGTGTGCACGAAGGTGGAGGGAGATGGGTTGGTAGCAATAAAGTGGTAGAACTTAAAAAAAAAAAATGGGGGTGGGTGGGTGCTCTCTAGTCCTCATTGTCACATTTCCTCAGACTCCTCCTCCGGGGATCGGGGCCAAGGCCGGGCGTGAGAGGAAGCATGAGAGCGCTGTGGGCCATGAAGAGCTAAGGGCCGTCTCCTTGATCTAATGGGATCTCTCTCCCAGCTCAAAAACCCACCCTAGCCTCCAGAACATGATTTCCCCTCCATGTATTTCATTATCAGTGTTGCTTTAATTCCTCACCTCATTGTAGAGAAGGTTGGAGTGAATGCATAAGTGAATGAACAGACCTTTTTTAACAAACTTTATGCTCATCTGTGTGCCAGACACTGTGGTGGGTGCTTGATTAGCTTTCTCTCCCATGGTCCATGAAACCACACTGTGAAGAAGTACTGTTATTCCTCCTCGCAGATGGGGAGCTGATCCCAGAGGGGCAGAGTATCAGGTGTGGATGAATCTCATGACCTCCTCCCTGCAGCCCCCTTAGGCCCATTGTGCAGAGGCCCCAAGTGAGGCAGAAGGAGCGTAGGTGGCTTGGCCAAGGACACACAGTGCGATGGAGCCCAGGTCTATGGGATTCCAAGTCTAGAGGTTTCCACGTCCTCACCTTCCTGTCTCTCTGATCTCCCTTGTGTAAGGATTCTAGGACGTCCAGGTGGTCTTTGGACAGTTGGGGAAACAGGTCAAGTCACCCTGTGGTCTGTAGCAGAGTCTGGCTAGGGACCAAGAACTTCTGCCTCCAAACCCTGCGGGCTTGCTCCCCACAACCCTTGGAAACCCACTGGGAGCCCTTCACCATCCTCCTGCCCAAGAACCCAGCCCCACTCCTGCCCACAGCCAGGCCCCAGCCTCACGCTGCCATGCTCACAAGACACTGGCAGCCATCCCATCCCGCAGTGCAGTCCACTCAGGGTCCTCAGCTTTGCGGGCACCTCAGGCCTGTCCCGGGCCCTGATGCCCCGGAGCTGGCCTCCCTGGGACCATTCACAGGGGCCCGGGAGGGTCAATGACAGCATGCCTCGCCCTGGCAGGGAGGCCTCGGGAAGCCGAGCCCTTCCTGCCTTCTGAGCTGAGGAGCTGAGTGTGGTTTACTTTCCTGGATGACTTGGAAGTGCCTCGTGCCCTTGGGAAGCCGAGCGTGCCCTGCAGTCAGGTTCATTTCATTGTGTGCTCTCCACAGGCTTTGCTGAGACAGTTCCAGCCTCTAGACCCAAGTGGACTCCCTCACTCCCCACTTTCCGGCACTGTGAGGGGTAGGGAACCCTGGGACCTTGACCAGCTTCCTCACTAACTCCCCATGGGATTTGGAGCAAGGCTCCCTCCGTGTGCCTCAGTTTCCCTGTATTTTTGATGCACAGACAGGCCTGGGAGACCCCTAACCCTTGCAGTGGCGCCCACAGGCCAGGCGGGAGGGCAGAGGGGTCCCAGTCCTGTGTGCAAGGGGGCGGGGCTTAGACTGCAGAACTGGAAGACCTGCAGAAGGCGTCTCACTCACACCCCTCAGGTACACAGGGAGAAACTGAGGCCTGCAGAAGTCAGTCGCACAGAGTCATCTCCAAAGCCCCGGCTAGGGTCTCCCCAGGCCCCGAGTCCAACCCTGCCCACCATAATTCTTACTTAGACTGATTTTTCAAAACCAAATATTGATTTAACTTTAGTAGTTCACAAAACGCTTTCATATATGTCATCTTGTTGAATCCTTTCAATGACTCTATAAGGTAGCAATTACACACCTGCTCAGCGCACATGAAGACAGGTGCTGAGTGATGATGCGGCAACAGGCAGCCTCGGGGACGGCCAGCCCCTAGCACCCACCTCTTGCTTCTTCTTCTCCTCTCCCTCCTTTCCTTTTCTTCTCCTGCTCACCTTTTTTCAGCAAGCATTTTGTGAGAGAAAAAAGCAGAGCATGTGAAAAGCCATGGCTTTTGGAATTGCCTTCAAAACTGGGTTCAAATCCCAGCCCAAGATCTCCTAACTGTGTAGCTTTGGGCCAGGAGACTCAGCCTCTCTGAGCCTTCTCTTTTTTAAATGGGGAAATTAATGATATCGCCCATGAACGATTTCTGTGATGATGAAACCATTTGAAGTGTGAGGGCAGTAGGTACAGTAGGTGTATGAATGGCATCGTTACCCCTGCGAAAGCCACTATCTTCCTGCCCCTCCCAGCTGCCCTCCAGGGTTGGAGGAGGAGCTAAGGATCTACCCTGCAGCTTGAGAGCAAAACGCCCTGCCCCTTGTCCCTTGAGGCCTGGAGCAGGCAGTGACTCCCTGAGAACACTGGCAGGCGGAGAGGTGGGGCCAGGGCCCAGGGCAGGCAAGGGAAGGAGCCCCACCACCCAGCCCAACGCCCTCCCCCTGTCCGCAGGCTCTGCGCGCCTCTCTGGAAATGAAGTGTAAGTGCCATGGGGTATCTGGCTCCTGCTCCATCCGCACCTGCTGGAAGGGGCTACAGGAGCTTCGGGATGTGGCTGCTGACCTCAAGACCCGCTACCTGTCGGCCACCAAGGTGGTGCACCGACCCATGGGTACCCGCAAGCACTTGGTGCCCAAGGACCTGGACATCCGGCCTGTGAAGGACTCGGAGCTCGTCTATCTGCAGAGCTCCCCTGACTTCTGCATGAAGAATGAGAAGGTGGGCTCGCACGGGACACAGGACAGGTAAGGGTCTGCCGCCACCCTGGCAGTAAAGGCCAGCCATGTGGGGAATGCCCCTTCCCAGCTCAGGCCTGGGCACACACAGTCGGTTGGGCTTCAGCTGGCTTTTGGGGAATGGAGTCCCTGCCTGGTTGAATGCTGAGTGGAGGTGTGGGATCCCAGGGCTCCCGGCAGAGCTCCTGGGAGAGGCTGTTGTGCTCCTCACCAAGGCAGGGGCTCCTTGGGAATGGAGGCTCATGAGAGGTCCCTACCTCACCTGCCCCCTAGTGAGGGAGACAGATGGGAAGAGTCAATGACTGTGCGGCAGACAAGGGCTAGGAAAGAGGCCGCCTGACATAAAATAGGTCCTCAGTAGATGTCTGTCAAATGAATACGGGAAGGATCATGTCACACAACCTGCTGGTTGGACAAATGAACTGAGGCACGGGGTGGGGCAGGCAGCAGGCAGCCCCCGTGGCCACACCCGAAGTCTGCACAGCGTGGAGGCAGGACCAGGGCAGGCTCACTCCAAAGGGGCAACAGGAGAGCGGGGCCAGCCTGCATTTTGTGGAGAGGGTGCTCCCGCATCCCCACCTACATCCACCCCTCCCAGACCCAAGCTCTCTCTTCAAGCCGCCCCCTGCCTCCCCGCCACCCCCCCATTTCAGAGCCAGGCCTGGGATCCCTATAGCAAGGCCTATCCTGGAGGCTAAAGCTGATCCAGGACTGGAGAAAGGGAGGGAGCCAGTGGGGACAACAGACCTCCTGGGTGCCAGGAGGGGCTGGTGAGGATTCAGGGGAGCAGCTCTTTCCCGAGATGGTTCAGGAGGAATCCATTCCTGAAATGCTATAAAGAAATAGTTGTGCAATCAAATACACTGGGAAATTCTCTTTGCAAGGCACGAGAACATATTAAAGGCTCTGAGGAATCCTGCAGTAAAGGATCTGTCTAAGCCTCTGTTTCCCAGAGGTGTTTGGCTGTGGAACTCTTTTATTAAGGAGCCCCTAATAGCATTCCACAAGATGAGTGTTCTTCGGGGTTAAAAGAATATTGAACCAGAGTGAGGGTGTCTGAGAACGTGTCTGGCACATAGTTGGTGCCTGGCCAGCTTTTGCTTCCTCCTCAGCCCACGTTCCTGTCTCTAGGAAAGGGGGGCTGCTTTGGGGGGCTCCCTCCTCACGGGCCAGGGCAGCAGGCTGTAAGAGGAGGCCCAGGCGCCCATCTGGAGGCCAGATTGAGGAGGTCAGGCAGAGTGAAGAAGGAACCAGGTCAGGCCAGAGAGACAGGAAGGAGCGAGAGTCTAGGCTGAGGACCCAGGGTGGGTGTGATGAGGACGGGGTGGGGGGAGGATTCTAGAACCCACAGGACCTGGGGGAAGCCCACTGAGGACCTCAGAGCAAAGAGGGTTTCTCCCTGGAGCCCTGGGGCGGCTGTGCCTGTGTGTCTCAGGAAGGACAGCTCCCACCCAGATGCCACAGCTTTCTAGAGGAGGGGACCTTGAACAAATCCCCTTCCCTTCCCTGAAGCTCAGGGTCATCTTCTGTGCCTTGGGGACAGTGCCACACACCTGGAGGGTTGGTGTGATTCAAATCACACAGCCCCTCCATGCTGGGCGTGATCAGTGCCCTGGGAAGGGTTTGTGAATGACGGGCTCCCCCCACCCCCTCCCTGAGGCTGCCAGGCCTCTTCCTTCCCAGCTGTCACGACTCTGCCCCAAGGACTTGCCCCCAAACTGTTGATGAGGAGGCCCCTTCCCACAGCACCAGCAGCTACCCTTGCTTTCTCAGAATGCCATCCCCCCACCCCCCGGTATCCTGCCACGCTCAGCCCTCAGCCATTCTTCCGAGGATGGGCCTTGTTCGACAGCTGTATGGGTCAGCTTTTTCTCCAGTAACAAACTGCCCCCAACATCTCAGTGGCTCACAACCACAGACACTTTTTACATCCATTATATGAGGCTCTGGCTGGCACCAGGGGTGGGGAGGGACATCAAGTGCTCAGATTGTGACAGAGGGAAAACGGGGATCCAAGAGGGGCCCTGACTCAGCCTGTACAGCAAGGAAGGCTTCCTGGAGGAGGGGAAGCATGAACTTTACTAGGTTGGGGATTTAGGGGTACAGGGGGTTGGATGGAAATGAGCTTTGTTAACTGTAAAAGGCAGGTGGCATAGGTGGTACACGTTAGCTGGGTCCCCTAGCGGGGCAAGATGCCCTCCTCAAATCCAGCCTGGTGAACTGAGGCCCCCTTAGCAGTCCCTATTCCAGTCTCTGAAACCTGCTGTGTCCCCAGGCCCCAGCTTCCCCAGATCCCCCTCACAGGCACCATTATAATTCTTGTCTGGGTCTGAAGCTGGAGGCCAGATTTCAAAAATTGCATGTCAGGGACCTAGAAATAAAATGAAACCCTTTCCAGCACCCTTTGTTGGTCTAGAGACCTTCAGAATAAGGCTGAGAGGGACTAATGGTGTTGAATGACTAAAAAAAAGCCTAGAAAGGTTAAGTGACTTGCCTGAAGTCACATAACCAGTGAGCAGAAGAGCTTGGGTTTGAACCCAGGTCTGCTGGCTCTGGGCATATGTTGTTCTGCTGTTGCTTCCTGTCTCCTCCCTCCTGCCTGGAACAGCATACAGCCCCCACATGCAGTCTCTTCCTGACTCCCCGTCCAGGTGATCTCTCCTTTCCTCTCCATGGCTCCTTTCCAGCTCAGGCCTCAGCTTCTTTTACTCAGCTGCTGTCCAGTCTCCTCCTTGGCCTCCCTTCCTCCAGCCTTGCTGCTTCATCCATCTGTCACCCACCCCCCCTTACATTAGGTCGGGTGTTTGTTCTCCTTGCCCTCACCACCCTATGCCCTCCCTTCTATCTGAGATTCCTACTCATCTTTCATGGAATGGCCTGGATGACCCCTCTCCCTCCAGGAAGCCTTCCTGAACTCTCACAGACCTGGTGCTCACCCTATGTGATGCTGGGCAAGTCCTCTGCCCATTCTGTGTCTCAGTTTCCCCATCAGGAAAGATGAGGGTTGGATTTGGTCATCCCTAGGGCTTACTCACCTGGGACACTCTGGGATTCCTTGGTCCATGTGGCTGTGGGCACCCAGCTGCTTCCCGTGACAACACCCCAGCAAAGTGCAAGCCCAGCTAGATGAAAATGCAGACCTGCACAGACGTTTCCTCACTAGACAGAAGAACCGATGGCAAGACAGAAGAACTGATGGCAAGGATATTTGGGGTTTATAGGGACCTTCAGTGTCTTCTTTGCCCACATGAGTGATTCGTTTCTTCGTGGATCACTTCCAGCCCATGGATTCTCTGCCCCTTAGGGTGGGGAGAATGAATAAGCACTGGACTTGGTTTCAAAGGACCTCTAAGCTTGAGCCCTGCTTATCCGCAAACCCTCGTGAGACTTTGAGCAGCCCTCTGCCCTTTGCTGAGCCTGTTTCCACCTGTAAAGTAAAGTGGGCATAGCAATTCCACTGGCCCAAAGACCCTGCCTGCCTCCAATAAGGTAAAATTCTGGAGGGAAGCACCTGATTCAGAGGGGGCAAATGATTGACAGACCCTCTGTCTCCAAGAAGAGAGCGCCAGGTGCTCCCTCTGCCTCACGTCCGATGCCATTTGTTTCTGAATTTATCCTGAGATTCTAAAAGTGAAAACGATTTTTGTATTTGTTAGAATATAATTAAGGATTAAATATGAAGATAGGATTATTAACTAGTGGTTTGAGACATTTTCAAGTATCTAGAAGTAGAAGGTATAGGAAAAGAGACAAAGGAAACATAACACCCCCTCATTTTAATAAACATCTACTAGAAATATAGGGAAAAGTGAGAAGGACCCCTGGGAAAAAGAATTTAAATTCTCCAAAGACCAAGACACTATCCAAGGGGGACTGAGGCAGCAGCCGTGGTTGGAGGAGACGGGGGCTGCCTGGCTGGGAGTTGGGGGGACTGGTGAGTGATGGGGGTGCTCACTGACCTCCCCATCCCCCTCCAGGCAGTGCAACAAGACATCGCATGGCAGCGACAGCTGCGACCTCATGTGCTGTGGACGCGGCTACAACCCCTACACAGACCGTGTGGTCGAGCGCTGCCACTGCAAGTACCATTGGTGCTGCTACGTCACCTGCCGTAGGTGTGAGCGCACCGTGGAGCGCTACGTCTGCAAGTGAGGCCACACAGCTCCTCGGGGACCCTCGGAGCCCAGCCGGGGGGCCGGAGACACCCCGCGGGTTTTGGCTTCTGAATTCCAGATGCCGAGTGTGGAAGGAGGCTTGTGCTTTGCCTCCACTTGGAAGCCGCCAGGAACAGAAGGCTGGGCCATCAGGGAAGGAAAGCCAGGACATCAAAGGAGACCGACAAGATTAAAAATAACCTGGCAGCCTGAGGCTCCGGAGTGCCCACTTGCTGCCTTCCCGGCGGGTCTAAGGAGCCAGGGGTGTGGGTTTGGCAAGACTGGTATGGACTCAATCTTTCGTAGCCAGAGACACCAGCTTCCTGGGAAGTGGGAGGTGAGCCTGTCCTCACCAGAATGTTCTGTAGGCATAGCCCTCGAGACCCCCGACCCACCCCAGGGTCTGAGCCTACTGGGCCCACCACAAGGAACCACTAGCTTTGGTTGTAAATGTTTTTTTTGTTTTGTTTTGTTTTTCTTCCTCTGGGATGTGGGAGCTACAGAAATATTTATAAAACATAGCTTTTCCTTTGGGGTGGCTGGCTTCAATTCCTCTTTATATATTTTATATATATAAATATATATATATGATGATCTATATTTTAAACATGCTCTTTAAACAGCTGTTTGAAATAAATGCTGAGAACCCCAGCCCTCCCCTGCAGTTTCTGGCCTCCTCAAGTGAACTCAGAGGATCCCGGGGCTGGTGGAGTGATCTCTCCGGTTTCTAAGCAAGGTGGCGTCTTATTGATGTTTCCCGCCCATGGCCCCCGATCCGGTTCTGGCCCCAGTCTCCTTGTAGGATCTCCAGGTCAAGGGCGATGACAGATGTCTTGAAACCCAAACCCAGCTGGCGGGCTCTTTGTTCCTCAGGGACACACATGTGGGAGCACATAGCCTGGCAGTGGCCTCAGACCTGCTAAGTGGCTTCAAGAGAAACCCTATCCAGGCACTGGGAACACAGACCTCAGGGAGGTGGTGGCAGACCCAGGCTCCAGCTAGCCCTGGCAGGGTTTCTGTGTGACCATGGGGAAGGCTTTTCTCTCCCGAGCCTCAGTTTTCCCATCTGTAAAGCTGGTGGTAAAGATGGTGATTGGGAAAGGCCCCCAGCTTCATGCCTGGACCAGTGGGCATGGCTGCAGTGGCCGTGATTGGAGTCTTGTTCTGGTTTGAAGGTGGAGCCATCAAGATTTGTCCTTTTCATGGTTGTGGGGCGTGAGGGTGAGGAGGACAGAGAAGGACTACAAGTGTTTTGGCCGAGTGCTTGGAAGCATCCTGGGATGGGGGTGGAGAGAGGACTAGGATTCAGGCTTGGTGGACTGTGATGTCAGTTCTGTTCAAGTAGAAATACCAAGTAGATGGGCAGATAATTGAGCCTGGGGTTCCAAGGAGAGCCCAGGGGTGAGAGGCCCATTTGGCACTAAAAGGCAGGAGAGAAAAGCAAAGGGAATCAAGGCTTGGGCCTTGGACACTTGTGCTCTGGAGGTCAGGGAGATGAAGAGCAAAAGAGGCAAAGAGAGCAAGAGGTAACAGCCAGGGAGCTGGAGAATCCCAGGGATCTTGGCTGCTGTCAAGTGAAGAGGGGGGCTTGGAGGGGTGAGGGTCTCAGTGCCCTCAGCACTGTTGTGCCCTGAGCTTCAGCCTTACTTCCTGGGACATGGGCAGCACTGATGAGTGAGTAAAGAGTATCCAGGGGCCACAGCCATTCCCCTTGATGGAAGTCATTATTAGTCACCTGTATCTGCTTGTGGCTGTGGGTGACTGCATCAGACAAAGGATGTAAAAGGACATTATAAACTGAATTTTGGTGCACATGGAAGAGACGCAAACACTGAGGGGAAAGCTCTCCTCTCCCCAGACCCTGCAGAGACACCGGGTGGGAAGGGGGCAGGCTGTGTGGCCAGAGTCCTAGAGTCAGAATCTGGAGGGAACCTGGAGATTAGTCTTCTGGGCTCTCAATCTGTTTTGCAGATGAGGAAATTCCAAGATGGGAAGGGCCTTTCCTGTGGTCTCAGAGCTGATACGGGGCCAGGGGCTGGTGGTGGGGCATCCTAGCATGGGCCTCCCACCAGCATCTGTGCAGAAAACTCAACCTCTGCTGAAAAACAAGTGCCTGGAGTGTGTGCTTCCCAGGCCCAGGGCTGCCCCTGCTCCACACTGGCTCCCATGGCCCACAAAGCCAGTTCCCTGGCCTGGCATACAGGGCCCCCTCCCCAGGGCCCAGCCACATTTCCTACATTTCCAGCCACATCTCCTACAACTCCTCAGGTATCTCTCTGTCCAGCCTCCCTCTGGGCATCTGCTGCTCTTTCACAGAATGCCTGGAATGGCACTTCTCTGTTGGAATTCCACTGTTGGCTCCACTTTGGCGCCATCTCTATAAAGCCTTCCCTAATGCCCTCAAGCTCCATACAACCCTTTGAATCTTTTTTTCTTTTTTTTAAGATTTTTTAATATGGACCAGGCTTCATTGAATCTGTTATAATATTGCTTCTGTTTTTATTTTTAATGTTTTGGTATTTTGGCCATGAGACAAGTGGGATCTTAGATGACAAGGGATCGAACCCGCGCCGCCTGCATTGGAAGGAGAAGTCCTAATCACTGGACCACCAGGGAAGCCCCTATACAACCCTTTGGATCCTTAAAGCAGCCATCACACTCATGCTTACAGTGGTCAGCCCACTTTTCCTCCAAGGCCCATGTAAATGGTGCTCTCCCCCAGGAAGTCTGCCCTGACCACGCTCAGCCTGGGTCAGTGGCCTCCTCTGGGCTCCCACAGCCTCTGTGTTCTCCTCCCACTTTGCACTGAGCCATGGTGTTGTAGAGAGGTCTGTGCCTGCCCCCTCCTCCCGTCTGGGGCCTCCACATGGGCTGGGACCAGCCCAGTGCACCCGTGGGGGCCCCAGGCTTCGGCAGAGGCACCCTAGAGGCTGAGTACATACCTTGGAAATTTGGATTTGGGGGTGTCCTTTGGACCTTAACCGGGACAAGCAGATGGAGAAACCAGACCACAGACCCACAATGACTCAGAAAGGGCAGTCATAGTAATACAAATGCTGCCTGTTATTGTGCACCTGATGTGTCCTATTACACATGTTGTCCAGAGCCATCTTCACAACAGGTCCCGGTGGGTGTTGTTATCTCCCTCTGACAGCTGAGAAAAGTGAGGATCTGAGAGAGGAGGCCACTTGGCCCAGACAACACAGTAAATTCCTAGCAGTGCAGGGAGCCCAGGTGTGTCTGACACCGGACCCCTTCTCACACGTCCTCACTCCCGCCCGGCACGGGGAGAGCAGGGTGGAAGACACAGGCTACTTCTGGCTTAGGACAGGCGACTCAGCTGTGCCCTGACTCAGTGGGCCTGCTGCTGGCCAGTGCCGGGCCTGCTGTGAAGCCTTGCGCCTTCCTGCTGGTCAGGGGCTGGGAGGAACGTGGGGACCATGGAGAGCTGCTCCCTGGACCGCTCTTCCCTGACCAGATCAGGGTTCTAAGCACGCAGTTAAGCTGAGCTCCCATTCCGGGGAGGTAGGAGTGGGGCTTTCACCTGTGGGAAGGCCATAAACTCAGAGCTCTGGTGTCTCCCAATCTCACCGTGTTCTGAGAGTTGGAACCATAAGATCTTGGTACCCTGGACTTTTGGAGTAAATATCCTCAAACCACCGCACTGGAAGTCTTTTTGCGGCCCTTTGGGTCAGGAGCCGATTCAGAGAATTTAAAAGGCCTAGGTATGGATCTCTCTGTGGGTGTCAGAATGCTTGTCACCAGCAGGATTCCTGACCCGGCCCACAGTCCACCTCCCTTCTTCCCCCGGGGGCAGCAGTCCCAGAATGGGCAAGGCCTAGAGAAGGCAAGTCCCCAGGCATACTAGGACCAAGCCACTTTGAGGAGACTCCTGAGCCAAGTGTGGGAGGCCGGCTGGAGACACAGGAGAGACAGGGCCGGGGGAAAGAGACAAGAAGGCGGCAGAGAGGAAACAGGAACTCTTGAAAAGAGGGAGAGATTAGCTCGGTGGGAAAAGAGAGAATGGGCAGATAAGGTCCCCTGGGGAGGCCAGGTCAGGCCAGCGGAACAACGAAGAGGGGACTGGCCCCAGTCTGAGCAGGCTGACGGTCTATTTTTCCTTAGGTCATGGAGCCCAGCTGCCAGATTACACAGACCAGGCCTCCAGCAGGATGCAGGCCCCAGTCGGGGACCCCAGACCTGCGAGGGACTGGATGGGGCAGGGGGAGTTGGGGGCTGGGAAACTGGAAGCCCAGCATCTTTTCTGCTCTCTTGCTGTGTGACTCCAGGCAGCCACTTGGCCCTCTTCTCTGCAGTGATCATCTTGTTTAATTCTCACATCATTCTGAGGGGTCATGTCCATTATCTCTTTTTTATTATTGATGAAGAAACTGAAGAGCAGAGAGAGAAGCTATGGCCATGGTTACAGAGGCACAAGTGGGAGAGCAGGGATTCAAGCCCTAGACCACGTGGCTTCAAGTCTGTGAAGGCCATCCCAAGGATGGAGGCCTAAGCAGTTCTTGACATCTGTTGCAGGGACTGGGGGCTGTAGTCAGGTGCAGAAGTCAGGTGCCCCCTCCCCATGGCCATTAGGCCGTAGCTCAGCCAACACTTCCTGCCCTGTCCTCCCCTGACTGTGGAGCTCACCGTCACCTGGGACCCTGGACTCACAGGAACCACCTGTGTGTGGGGGCAAGGGGGGTGAAGCACATATATCCCTCTACTGGGGGACAACTCCCAACTCCCAGTTAGTGTAGCAGAGATGGCTGAAGTCAGAAGACAGCAGAGTCCTGAGGGCTATGGCTATGGTGGGGAGGTTAAGCCTGCTTCTATGAGGGTGACTGACTAAGAAGTGGGAAGTCTGGAAGACTTCTTGGAGGAGGTACCATTTGCACGAGGTCTGGAAGGTGAATAGAATTTTAGCAGATGGAGAAGGAAGTGAAGGAGAGAGTCTGCAGTGTTTACTTGGAGGAGGCCAGAAAGTGGGATGTGGATGGAGCTCAGGGACCCGTGGGCACCAGGGCAGCACAGGTCTGAGCTAGGCTACCCCGGGCCCCAGGTCAGAACGTCGGAATCAGGTGCCTAAGACCACCCCACCAGGGCTCTAGCTGCCAGCTGGTCTGTCCACCACCTGCCTGCCGGGTCCCCGCCCACCCTCAGAGATGGCTGGTTTCAGGCAGAGCCATTTTAACAGCTGTACGTTTAATGGGTCCCTTTGCTCTTGTAGACCAAATCAATATCCGCTTGGCTCCCAGACCTGTGACTGCTGAAGACTCTCCTTATGGGACCCTTGGTTCCCATTGGAAGCAGGGGAGAGGAGGCAGATCACACAACTGACCCAAACACCCCCAGCCAGGCTGGAAGTGGGGAGGGGGCTTGTGAGAGCCCCACCCCCAGTACTCCCGGACAGGGGCATGGCTGCAGTTAAACCCAAGTGTTTATTTTATGTCTCCACCATTTTTTCATCCATACTGTGTCAGCGAGCTGTCCCTTGGGGGTGGGAAACTGGTGGAGACACGCTGGGACAGCAGCCTGTGAGGCTACCCATGAAGGTGCCTTCTGACTCAAGATTCTGCT